ATATTTATATTATTATTTCATCTTAAAATAATGACATTTTATACATTGAATCTTATACGACAATATATTTAACAGCTGTCTTGGACAAATGTTATAGTTTTAGTACATTACTTGAAAAAAAGGGAAATATTTCAACGAGTAATATTAGAGTTAGTGATCTTTCAAGAAAAAGTCATCGTCTGAGAAAGTAGATGAAGAGATTCATCAAAAGGTAACAGTAGTCTGAGGAGACAGAATAAGCAACTTATCAGTAGGAAACCGTGGTCTGTGAATTAGAGCCGTAGTTCGTGGATTAGAGTAAGTGTTTAGTCAGAACTAAACCGTAGTCTGAGGAATGAGAGTAAAGGATTCATCAGGACGAAACTGTAGTGTAAGATTTTCTGTTCATTTATATATCTTAAGGTGACTTTTTCTTCCTTTACTTACACTACATGCTCCAAGTACTGTATGGTAACTAATTCATGGCTTGTAGTGTTAATTATGTTTTAAATTCAACTGATCTGGATGTCCGCCATAAGATTCAAAATTCGTATTTTACAGAGTCGATTTCTATTGGCTGTTATTTTTCAACCACAGAAAATGATTATTTCAACTGACAAGTGTGTCCAAGATTAGTTTTTAAGTTTTAAAGAAATGTAATCATATATAAAAGTTTAAAAATAAAAGTATGTTACACTTAAACAACTTAAATATAGAAAACGATATAACCGCTTTTTTTCTAGTTTTCTTGTTCAACAACAAGACAATAAAGTGTTAATTAAAGTAATTAACCATTAACATAACAACAACAATATATAGAAGCTGAAACAACAACGATATACAGAAACAGCAAACAATAACAAAAGTATACAGAAACTGAAAACAACAATGTACAGTAAGTGGAAACAACAACAAAAATATACAGTAACTTGAAACAACAAGCAACAACAACATACAGTAAGTGGAAACAACAAAACAATATATAGAAACTGAAAACAACAAACAATAACAACAACAATATACAGTTCTCAACAATGGCCAATAATAAAATCCTTTCTTAGCTATTGTTGTGTTAATAAAGTAAACACAATGCTGACTTTCACTTTTTTTAATGAAGATCTACGATTGAATAATTAAAATTAAATCTAATATCTAATTACTTTAAACATCTCTTTACCATTCACTGTGGATATTTCTGTCACGAAATCTCTTTAATTCTGTGTAATATAGTTAGTTAGTATACTATACTAGCTTATAGCGATAGGTATGGCCTTTTGGACAGTCACTGATAGCGACAGGTATGGCCTTTTGGACAATCACTGATAGCGACAGGTATATCCAATTTTGGACAGTCATTTATAGCGACAGGTATGGCCTTTTGGACAGTGACATATAACGACAGGTATGGCCTCTTGAACAGTGATTTATAGCGACAGGTATATCCAATTTTGGAAATTCACTTATAACGACTTATAATGGCTTCTTGGACAGTCATTTATAGAGACAGGTATGGCCTTTTGGACAGTGACATATAACGACAGGTATGGCCTCTTGAACAGTGATTTATAGTGACAGGTATATCCAATTTTGGACAGTCACTTGTGGAATACAAAAAGACAGATCTGAAATTCTGAATCCAAAATAGATAAGTTAAGATGAACGTGGAAAAAACAAGCGGTTAACGATAGTTGTATCACAAACTTTAGGCCTAACGGTTTTATAAAGCTTTACCAGCTTTCGGAGTTTAAACCATACTTCTTTAAATGTGATAAATGTGATGGATTATTTTTTAAGCACTCAATAGTTAGCTGTTATATTTCTAAATTTTTGTTTCTTTACTATCTTTCAGATTTTTTTATCTCTTTATTTTATTTCATCACAACCCGGGGACATAGATAAAAAGTGACATCATCATAGACAAGAGACCCGGTTTTTTAATTATATCGACAGACCAGCGGGAGTGTTAGGAAACTTAGCTGTTTACTGTTAAAGGTATAAGGGAATCTAACGTATAACATTTCGAAAAGTGGACCTTTCTTCTTCAGTTTGCCCCTCAAAAAGAAAGGTCCACCTTTCGAAAGCGCTCGGGTTATAGGGTTTTATTCATTTCTATAAAGACTTCTTGAACGTACGTGTTTTTCTCGTTGCTTCTTATTAGGCTACTAATAAGACAAAAAACACAACACACAAACAGCATATGTGATTTATTCCTCCTATGTTATACTACAATGGCTACTTCAGGATTAAACTAAAATATCCTTTCTAAAGCATGTGGCTAATCATGTGAATAACACCATTGTTGCAGTTGATGTCAGGAGAGTTGACCTTCACGCCATCTACCGTGGTACAATCTAAACGACAAAAATACGATAATAACTTAATATCATTTTAAAAATGTGTAATAATAATAATGTAAAACACCATCCTACTTGGTTACGTTAGGTGTAAAACACCATCCTACTTGGTTACATTAGGTGTAAACACCATCCTGCTTGACTACGTTAGGTGTAAAACACCATCCTGCTTGGTTACGTTAGGTGTAAAACACCATCCTGCTTGTTACATTAGGTCCCACAGCTGAATAAGTGTGCATGTTGTTACTCGAGTGCCCTAAGCAACAGGTCATGCCTGGTCTCCAATATTAAGCTCAATATAATAACATGTGGAGTGTGAAAAAAAAGAAAAATATTTCTTTAACCTATCAGTTACATTAAACTTTCTTCAAAAATATTATAAACTATTTTTATCTTTAAAAATTCTTAGCTGAGTAGTTACTATTTATATTGAAAATTACTTCTGAATACGTACAATTACATAAACTTTATTTTTAAATTGTATCAGCAAAACGAAGACTTTTGTGTTTGTCAGAAAATATATCATTATTGTTAGGTGTAAAACACCATCCTGCTTGACTACGTTAGGTGTAAAGCACCATCCTACTTGACTACGTTAGGTGTAAACACCATCCTACTTGACTACGTTAGGTGTAAAACACCATCCTTTCTGGTTACGTTAGGTATAAACACCATCCTGCTTGGTTACGTTAGGTGTAAACACCATCCTGCTTGACTACGTTAGGTGTAAAACACCATCCTACTTGGTTACGTTAGGTGTAAAACACCATCCTACTTGTTACATTAGGTGTAACCAAGTAGGATGGTGTTTTACACCTAACGTAGTCAAGCAGGATGGTGTTTTACACCTAACGTAACCAGGCAGGATGGTGTTCTACACCTAACGTAGTCAATCAGGATGGTGTTTCACACCTAACGTAACCAAGCAGGATGGTGTTTATACCTAACGTAACCAGGCAGGATGGTGTTTTACACCTAACGTAGCCAGGCAGGATGGTGTTTTACGCCTAACGTAACCAGGCAGGATGGTGGTGTTTTTAAAAGGTAGCTTTGAGGTAAATAAACAGTAATATTGATTATATTTCAGCTGTTTGACACTTGGTTTTCATGATGAAACCATCATTCTACAAAAATCTTCTGTTGTTGGTGTCATCTTCTGTTGCTGGTGTCAGCTTCTGTTGTTGGTGTCATCTTCCGTTGCTGGTATCAGCTTCTGTTGTTGGTGTCATCTTCTGTTGCAACAGAAGCTGACACCAGCAACGGAAGATGACACCAGCAAAAGAAGATGACACCAACAACAGAATATGACACCAACAACAGAAGCTGACACCAGCAAAAGAAGATGACACCAATAACAGAATATGACACCAATCATTTAACGGATCCACGACTTGCATGAAGGGGTCACCTAGTAGGAATCAGTTCAAACCCTGTGTCTTCTAGAAGGGAGACACCTAGTGGAAGTGGGTTAAACTGAACTGACATATAAAGCAAATGACAACTAGGTCTATGAATGTCCGTTTGACATAATCATTCTCTTCTGTGCTGTGAGGTTTCTACATTCTGAATCTATAGTTGATTACAAACATTCAAATCAAAATATAGACGTGATGAAATATCGCCACGATACCAGCAACAGAAGCTGACACCAACAACAGAAGCTGACACCAGCAACAGAAGATGACACCAGCAACAGAAGCTGACACCAGTGTTTGAACATATACCAACTAGATGTCTTCGTCAAGATATGAAAGATTAGTATTTCTCTATCATATAAGAAATAAAATCCGAAAGACAGAAATGGAGATGACGAAGTTAATGTTATTAAATATATTTATATATATATCTTAAGTGGCTCCATCTTGTGTTGCCAAATACAATTTGTATTGAAGAAAATAACTTTAAACAACACCAATGTGTTATACAAAGTCGCTCAAGACGAGTATTATATTGATATAACGTTCTATAATCATTCCTTCTTAGTAACTCAGTGACGTGTGGCAAATTCAGGTTGCTTTTTGACTAGAAAAAGTGTTTGATTTGAAATGACAAAACTCTTGATATTTCTCTACCTTAAGGTAAAATACATTCAATATAGCTCGCCTTTACTAGGCCTATTTTCACAAATAGGCATGTTTGACAGCCACCTATATCACTAGGTTTACCTGCTCACTGCTTAGTAAGACAAAAACTGTAAACGCTAGAATGACTCTTAATTATCTATGATAAAACACAGATAGATTTAGCAGTGACCTTCAGAACTAGCAGTGTATCAGTAAGTTTACAGATTTGTACAACTGGCTTTAAAACCTTGTTCCTGTTCCTCATTCAAGGGCGATAAAAAAGAAATAATTTCTCACTAGAAAAGAAAGTTTGCAGAAAACGTGTTCTAGTGGCAACAAAACGTTAAACCACACAATCATCTCTAGAACATTGCAACTCACGTGACAACCAAAGCCGATATAAAATCGAGGTGGAACAGAATGTATTAGAACTATATTTTAAAATTATTTGGTGTTCATAGGTGGTGTCTGCACCGAAAATTGATCACTTTGTAACAACTATTTCAGATAAAACATATACACACACACACACTCAGATGTTAAAGATGTGTTCAGATCGAGGATTTAGAATTTCCAAAACCAGGACATTTCTTGTACTTAATGGCATTGAAATGAATGATCTTAATTTGATTGGCTAACAAAGGAATGTACCGACGTTTAACTGCCTCGACTGCACTTTTCTGCCTCTTTGTTGGTCAAGCTTGATTTCACAAAATTTATTTATTTCAGTTAGCTATAAAATGTTAGGTTAGGGTAATAGTTGGCCATTATTTTAGACGGGCTATACGCTAGTTCCCTATATTTGTTACTTCTTAAAACTCGTGGATAACTACATCCAGATAATGTAAATGTGTTATGAAGATATTCAAACTTTGCGATCAGTTAATATTTAGACCTAAAATTGAAGCCTTTAAGACGCAAAGAAGCCCCTCCCCCTCACACTCATTTGATGCCTTTCAGATGAGTTGCTACCAAAAATGTAGTTTAAATAAATCCCCCTCCCCTTCCTCCACGGCGACTACACTGATCTAATGACCTGCGAAACACGAGGCACTAAATGTATAACATCCAGTTCACTTAACGTAACGGTGTTCTTTAGTTTCTTAATTTTGTTCTTGCTGGTGGTAATAAATATGGAGAGAGATGTGATTAGTAGAAAATTAATTTACCAGGCTCATCTCCGATTGCTAAGTCATTACCACCGATCGCCTTTAACTTCATCCCATTGGACAATCCTGCTGTGTAGAACGTTCCTCCAACCACGTGTCTTCTCAGTAGATCTGTTCAAAATAATACACGTGTCAAAGAAGTGTGAAATAATCACTGTTCAACAGGACTTGTAAAGTTTCAACAACGTACACTAAAACAGTTATGTATTCATGCTGGACTCAAGGACAAAGATTTTCCAGCAATAACGTATTTTGATAAACAATTTAGTATTACGTATATTGAAACTACTTGAAAGACCAGAAGAAACACAATGTCATGTTTTACGTTCACCGGAAGTTATAAAGATTGTTCATCACAGCAGCTTGATAACCAGAGGCTGAGATTTAACTAACAGAATATACGTGTTGTTAATCTCAGAAACGCGAGTGTTTATAGTTGACAAACACGTTAAGGGAAATTGTCTTTATTTCAGTCAAGCTAAGGCCTGAAGTCAACATGGTTAGCATTGCAGAAAGCTAACGTTAAAGCTGTAAAATGTAGTATTTAAAAGTATAAACATTATTCAAGTTATGTTCCAGTCCATCTATGTGGATTAGGACAGACTTTGGTCCATGTTATGTTCCAGTCCATTTATCTGGAATAGACCAGCATGTGCACCTTGTTATGTTCCAGTCCATCTATCTGGATTAGGACAGTCTTTGGTCCATGTTATGTTCCAGTCCATCTATCTGGAATAGACCAGCATGTGCACCATGTTATGTTCCAGTCCATCTATCTGGGAAAGGCCAGTCTGGGGTCCATGTTATGTTCCAGTCCATCTATCTGGAGTAGGACAGTCTGTGGTCCATGTTTTGTTTCACTATATTCGTCTGTGTTAGATCAGTACACGGTCCATATTTTGTATCAGTCCACTATTTTACGTTAAGCGAAGCCATGGTCTACTCCTCTGGGTTAGACTAGTACATTGTCATAGTTTTGGTTCAGTCCACTGATCTCGGTTAGACCAGTTTAAAGTTTAACATATGATTTTGTAAGAAAAATTAAATCACGTTACATGAACGAAACACTTCTGATGCTTTGCGTTCTTCTTAAACGATGAAAAACAAACTTTTCAACTCACCTCGAAGTTTCCCGGGATCGTTCAACAATTGATCCAATTCTCTTCTTGGCAAGTTTCCAAATGCAGCATCATTGGGAGCAAAGAGAGTAAGAGGTCCAGGACCTTCAGATAAAACAAAATGTTGGATACACTCAGAACTAGTGTGTCCTGTAAATTATATTACAAGTTTTAAACTAGTGTGTCCCGTAAAGCGTATTACGTGTTTTAATCTAGTGTGTCCTGTAAATTATATTACAAGTTTTAAACTAGTGTGTCCTGTAAACTATATTACGTGTTTTAAACGAGTGTGTCCTGTAAACTATATTACGTGTTTTAATCTAGTGTGTCCCGTAAAGTGTATTACGTGTTTTAAACTAGGGTGTCCCGTAAAGTGTATTACGTGTTTTAAACTAATGTGTCCTGTAAACTATATTACGTGTTTTAAGCTAGTGTGTCCCGTAAAGTGTATTACGTTTTTAAACTAATGTGTCCCGTAAAGTCTATTACGTGTTTTAAACTAGTGTGTCCCGTAAAGTCTATTACGTGTTGTATTACGTGTTTTAAACTAGTGTGTGCAATTACCGATACACAAAACGCCTACACCCAGCCCTGGGATGCCCTTACTAATACACAAAATGCCTACACCCAGCCCTGGAATGCACTTACTAATACACAAAATATCTAAAGCCAGCCCTGGGATGCACTTACTAATACACAAAATGCCTACACCCAGCCTTGGGATGCCCTTACTAATACACAAAATACCTAAAGCCAGCCGTGGGATGCCCTTACTAATACACAAAATACCTAGAGCCAGCCCTGGGATGCACTTACTAATACACAAAATACCTAAAGCCAGCCATGGG